AGGGAATGCAGAATGAGTCAGCCCCTATCGAGAAGAACCTGGCAGTGTCTACAAAGCCTTCAGACGCATTTTTCTTTGACTCAGCAATCCCTCTTCTAAAAACATATCCCTCAGATACTCCTGCACACATGGGAAATGGCACATGTATAAGGTTATTCGTTACAACACTGTAATAGCAAAAGATTAGAAACAATCCAAATGTCCATCAAGATAGGGGGTTGGTTAAATAAATTATGATTCAGTCACTTAGTAGATAACATTTATTTTCTCCATGAATAAAGGTAAAAGAGCCTACATAATTTTACAAACAGTCTCCAGGCCCTGTAAAGCACGGAGGACTATCTGAAGCCTCCTGGCCTCGGACTAACTGCAGTGTGAGCCCAAGAGGAACTTGCCCCCAGCCCTTTTCAAAACCTTAGCAACAAAGCCACAGAGGCCGTGAGGTGATGTCGGACTTAATGTGAGTCCTAAGTCCAAATCACAACGTGGCCGCTTCTTACTAACTGCGACACCACAGGCTTTGGTTCCTCATCCGTAAAGTGGGGATAAAATTCCCTATCTTGAAGAGTTCTTGTGAGGATGAAGTAGGGCAGTGTATGTGACACAGGAGGGTCCCCGGGTGGTGCAAACGATGAACGCACTCAGCGGCTAACAGAAAGGTTGGAAGGTTGAGTCCATCCAGAGGAGCCTTGGAAGAAAGGCCTGGTGATCTACTTCTAAAAATCAGCTTCCGAAAACCCTATTAAGCACAGTTCTACTCTGACACGCACGGAGTGCTCAACAAAGAGAAGTTATTATTAGTCGTAGACAAGACAAAAGAATCCTATCTCCAGGGCTTTATTCATTACAGGTGGAAAGTCATCTTGGAAATTCCAAGATAAGAATCAAAAAGTCACTGCTGTCAAAAAAGAATAGAAGGAATTTCCCTTCAGGAGCAAGCAGTTTTGAAAGAGACAGGCAGGCATACACACCCCACCTCCTTCTCATTGCCGCCGCCTCTTCCGAGGACTGGCAGAGAGACCTTCTCTAAGTGTCTGGCAATGTCTATTAAGACTGCAGATGCATTTCTCTTTGACTGAGCAATCCCTCTTCTAAACACGTAAACCCCAGACACTCCTGCACATGGAGAAGGCTATTCATTACAACATTGTAATAGCCAAAGGTTAGAAACAATCCAAATGCCCATCAAAATAGGGACTGGTTAAATAAATTACGGTTCAGTCACTTAGTAGACAATATTTATTTTCTCCATGAATAAAGACAAAAGAACCTACATAAATTTACAACCAGCTTCTAGGCCCTCCAAAGCACAGAGGACTGGCAGAGAGATCTTCCTAAGCATTCTAGATCAGCAGGGTTGGAAGGAACCTGAACACAAAAGCCTTGTGTTTAGGGGTGAGAATCACTAGGCCCAAGAAGCCTCGATGGCGCAGTGGTTAAGCACTTAACTACTACCTCAAGGGTCAGTGGTTCAAACCCACCTGCCACCGCGGGAGGGAGATGTGGCAGTCTGCTTCTGCAAAGATTAACAAAAACCACCCCACTGAGTCGATTCTCTGTAAAGATTAAGACCTGGGAAACTCTATGGGGCAGTTCTCCTCTGTCCTATAGGGTCGCTCTGAGTCAGAATCAACTCCACGGCAATGGGTTTGTATCCTAAAGCCCAGTGAAGACGAGTGATTTTCTCAAGGGCACACAGTCAGGGGTCTTGTTCCACAGCCCAGCTGACCCACCAACAAAACTGCTCATCAGTATCCATTTCACGAGAGCAGTTTTCCAGTGATTGAAAACAGAAAAAATAAAGCTAAAAGTGAGGGGCAGGCTCTGAGCTCAGTTGACTTCTCGTGCACGCCTGAGAGGGGTTGAGCATGTGATCAATCGCGTGAAGTCAAAAAGAAACAATCTTTGTTGGTTACGTGGGATGGGAGGGGTGGGAGTAAAACTAAGCCGACACAGGTAAGCTGTGACTTTGGCGAAGGGTAAGACAGTCCACAGCACTGGGGAAGCCAGCACAGCTCGTACGAGGAATGGTCACGGACGCTCCATAGACACATCCAAACTCCCTGAGGGACTGAATTGCTGGGCGGAGGGCTATGGGGACCATGATCTCAGGGAATATCTAGCTCAATTGGCACAACACAGTTTATAAAGAAAATGTTCTACATTCTACTTTGGTGAGTAGCGTCTGGGGTCTTAAAAGCCTGTGAGCAGCCATCTAAGATACTTCACTGGTCTCACCCCTTCAGGAGCAAAGGAGAATGAAGAAAAGATACAAGGAAAAGATTAGTCCAAAGGACTAATGGACCACAGCTACTACGGCCTCCACCAGACTGAGTCCAGTACAACTAGATGGTGCCCGGGTACCACTGACTGCTCTGACCGGGATTACAGCAGAAGGTCCCGGACAGAGCTGGAGAAAAATGCAGAACAAAATTCTAACTCACAAAAAAAGACCAGACTTACTGGCCTGGCAGAGACTGAAGAAACCCTGAAAGTATGACCTCCGGACACCCTTTTAGCTCAGTAATGAAGTCACTCCCAAGGTTCACCCTTCAGCCAAAGATTAGACAGGCCCATAAAACAAAACGAGACTAACGGGGCACAACAGTCCAGGGACAAGGACTAGAAGGCAGGAGGGGACAGGAAAGCTGGTAATAGGGAACCCAAGGTCAAGAAGGGACGGTATCGACACGTCGTGGGGTTGTTAACCGTTGTCATAGAACAATATGTGTACTAACTGTTAAATAAGAAACTATTTGTTCTGTAAACCTTCATCTAAAGTACAATAAAAACAAAAAAAATACTGGTGAAGTAAGTAATGTGTTAACCTGTGTCATCCATTTTCATGGCTGTGTCTCTGCTTTGTCTTGTATGTACTTCCTGTGGAATGAAGCCCCACATTTAGTGGCAGCTTCTATTGCAGTAAAATCAAGGATTTTAGAATGTGCCAACCCCTGCTCCAGCAATGAGCAGAGATATCACGTTGGGTTTCCATTGGCCACCTTCATCACACATGGCTGCACAATCAGATCACCGTGTCTCTCTGGCACACAGCAGGTACTACCCCTGCAGACCTTGATATCCCTTTGTCTTGTCTGCACATGGGACCTGATCAGCCACATGACACAACCCTGCTCTTTGAATTCCAAGCAAAGATTCTCCCAAAGCACCTCAAAAGAATAGAAAAATAAGATACTTGCGATGATATTTACATAGGTTAAACATTTGCTATTTCCTCAACTGGAACCGAGAGTTAAGAAGAATTATAAAGGGTTTTTTTTTTTTCTCCAAGTTCCCAAAATACCTCCTTCATTCACTTTGCCGTTGGGGACTGATTCCCACCATGTCCAGGATGATCTGGAGAACACTGGATCCAGCCATATTCACTGGGTTACTGATCTTTCCCGCAGTCCTACCCCAGAGACTTGCTCATGGCAAACACTCAATAAATAACTTCTAAAACCCGAACCGATTGTGGTCGAGTCAATTCCGACTCATAGCGACCCTGAAGGGCAGAGCAGAATTGCCCCATAGAGTTTCCAAGGAGTGCCTGGTGGATTCAAACTACTGACCTTTTGGTTAGCAGCCATAGCTCTTAACCAGTACGCCACTAGGGTGGGGCAATGGGTTTGTTTTAAGAACTGCCCCATAGAGTTGCCAACGAGCAGCTGAGCTTTTGGTTAGCAGCCGAGCTCTTACCCAAATAACTCCTAGCTGAACCAGAATGAGGCATTGGTAGTTCAATGGCAGAATTCTCACCTCCCATGCAGGAGACCCATGTTTAATTCTTAGCCGCTGCATCTCATCTGCAGCTACCACCATCTGTCAGTGGAGGCTTGAGTGTTGCTGTGATGCTGAACAGATTTCAGTGGAACTTCCAGACTAAGACAGACTAGGAAGAAAGGCCTGGCAATATACTTCTGAAAAGCAGCTAGTGACAACCGTATGGATCACAACAGTCCACCCACAACTAACTATGGGGATAGTGCAGGCCGGGCGGGGTTTTGTCCCGTTCGCATGGGGTTACCGTGAGTCGGAGCTGACTCAGTGGCAACAACAAGCTGAACCAAGCAGGATTTCAACAAAGACACACCGAGCATCTACTGCAGGCTAGACACTGTGTGAGACCCTTTTCCCTTTCGAATTTAATTCTCCCGGCAATCCTGAGAGGTACTCATCGTTGCCCTCCATCTTACAGATGACAAAAACAGACGCTCAGAGCATTAAGTGATTTGCTTCCAGTCACAAGGTAGGAATTGGCAAAGTGGGATGGAGCCCAAACCACATGACTCCGGGTTTTCCCACGGTGAGATCATGCGTTGGTTGTGTTTACAGGCCTCTGGCTTCTAAGGCACCTGTGCAACTTCTCCTCAGTCCCTTCCCACCCATCCCACCCACTGCCGTCATAGCAACCCTGTAGGACAGAGTAGAACTGTCTCATAGGGTTTCCAAGGCTGTAATCTTTATGGAAGCAGACTGCCACATCTTTCTTCCATGGATCGACCAGTGGGTTTGAACCACCGACCTTTCAGTTAGCAGCCGAGCGCTTTAACCACTGCACCACCAGGGCTCCTTGCACACACACAGAAGCTCCTAATCTTTAGCAACTCACAAAGAGGGGCCACATCCTTTGACTCCACCTTCTATAGATGAACAAAGACAATATCATGTTTCCAACACATTAGTCAGACTTCGCGGAAAAAAAGAAAAACATAAAATACGCATATGACTTAAGTACATTTACCATCCTCTGGAACAAGGACATATACATGGAGGGTTCACTATCAAATGAATTTTGCTCTTAAATGATGCTAATCTCTTTCACTGGGGCCTAAATCCTAAAATCTAAGTAAGGTTCTATGGCTTGCTTTCTTGTCTTTAAAGTAGACGCATGAAGCTAATAGATACATAAACCATAAAAGCAACAGCCGGGGCTCCCACCAACCCAGATTTTCCTTGCAACTTGCACTCATTTTGAGTCTGGTCCGGGGCGTGCTGACCTGAAATAGTTGCTGGCCGCGGCAAGCACCACGCGGTGGCAGGAGAATTCCTGGATGTCCACACACAGGATGACATCCGTGAGAGCGTTTTCCATTCGGAGGGTCTCCAGGCCATTCTGAAGAATTAAGGAGAGTCCCGTGTCATCAAATTTTACCTTATCCTCATTTAAGATTTCTACCAGGTCTCCCGTTTTCTGAGCGGCCTCATCTGTAGAAGGGGCCAGGGGTCCTTCCAAGCTCTTCTCTACCACTTCCCCCATGGTCCAGGCGCCCCCTTGTCCTGCCATCAACGTCCAGACTGAAGGAGCACCCAAGTCTCAGTCAGGTCACATTGCAGAAGCGGAGCGGATTTCCTGTACTGGGCCCTCCACTTATCACCAGCTGTCACACATACATAACAGGAAGTCTCGCACTTTCTCATCCTGTCACCACAAACACCGACCCCTTCTATTCTTCTTCTTTCTGTGAATTATCACAGGGTTAGAACCTAGAGGGTATGTAGGAGGGGGCTCTGGGAGAGAGGGGGGCTTCTCAGAGTCTGCTACCAGTGCCCTGTGGTTGTTTTGGTACATCGTCCCGCCTCATATCCGTGAGCAGGAAGTCTCCAGTTCTGGGTATTACGTTTGCAGTCCGGGTGCTTCTAGAACCCAAGTTGTGGAAGATGCGATGGGGACAGTCTGCCATTCTCTCCTCCCTCGTCTGAGGAGTCTGAGGCCCCACAATGCGCCTCCACTCAATCCCTTGGGGACCTTGGAAAACCCACTTAATCTCTGGCATTCCTTATTTCTATCAGCACTACACAACTTCTGTCCGTCTCCCCTGCTGTTCAGGGGAACCATTGTCATGGCAAACATTAACCTCCCCCGAAAATGTCTATTGTTTCACATCTGCCTCTGGAGACGGGAGAAATGGTCTCCAGGCTCCACCCCCAGGTCTGCCCGCTTAGGTGGCCAACCAGGGTAGAAGACCAGACTAAGCCAGCAAGTCCCCAGCTGGCCTCGTCGGACCCCACACCTACTGATCATGCGTCTAATGTCGGATCATAAAGCATTCCCATTACCTCTGCAGGTCTCAGTTAAGTCATAACAACTATCTGTTACTGTTGTTGTTGGCCCCGACTCATGGCTGCCCCATGAACAGCAGGATCAGACAACTGTGATCCATTGCATTTTCACTGGCTGATATTTGGAAGCAGATTGCCAGGCCTTTCTTCCTAGTCTGTCTGAGTCTGGAAGCTGTGCTGAAATCTGTCCAGCATAATCATAGCAACACCCAAGCCTCTACTGACAGACAAGTGGGTGGTGGCTGTGCTTGAGGGGTTCTGGCTGGAAACTGAACCTCCATCTCCCGAACATAAGAGGAGAATGGCACCCCTGAACCACCACAGCCAACCATTCTTTATTAACCCCCACCGTGTGCTAGAGAGTGTACAGGAATTAATGCATTTTCACCCTGACAACACCCAACGGGAGGGGATAAGACTTTCCTCTCTTCACGCTAAGGAAACTGCATCTCTGCTCAAGTGAATGGCTGAGCCCAGGTCGGCTCAGCTCCAAAGCCCCTGTTCCCCCCACCAATGCAGCTACCAGCACTATAATATCTGTCAGCCCTGACCCCAGCGTCACCATGGGCTCCAAAGTCCCTGTTCCCCCCACCAGTGCAGCCACCAGAACTATAATATCCGTCAACCCTGACCCCAGCATCACCATGGGCTCCAAAGTCCCTGTTCCCCCCACCAATGCAGCCACCAGAACTATAATATCTGTCAACCCTGACCCCAGCGTCACCCTCAGCTCCAAAGTCCCTGTTCCCCCCACCAATGCAGCCACCAGAACTGTAATAGCACGCAGCCCTGACCCCAGCGTCACCCTCAGCTCCAAAGGCCCTGTTCCCCCCACCAATGCAGCCACCAGAACTGTAATAGCACACAGCCCTGACACCAGGGTCACCCTTGGCTCCAAAGCCCCTGTTCCCCCCACCAATGCAGTCACCAGAAAACTGTAATATCCATCAGCCCTGACACCAGCGTCACCCACGGAGGGTCCCCAGGGCTTGCGTCCCATGGTGGCACCAGTCCCCAGTGCCTTGCCCAAGTGGACCCTGCTGTCTCACGCTGTCCTCATTCACCTCCGGTGGGGGGAGCACCACCGACCCCCAGGCGATGGGGAGTCCCAGTCCTTCTCTCTGTCCTCGTGAGTGTTGACGCCTCCCCAGGAGCTCCAGCACTGCTCCCTGTGGGTCCTTACTTCTGGTATCAGTCAGGGTTCTCCTGAGAAACAGATCCACACACACACACACACGCACACGCACACACACATGAAGGGTTTATTTTAAGGAATTGATGCACACAGGTGTGGGGCCGGCAAGTCCGAAATCTGTTAGGGCAGGCTGGATGGAAACTCAGCAAGCGTTGACGCTGCCGTCTTGAGGCAGAATTTCTTCTTCTCTGGGAGACCTCCATTTTTGCTTTTAACTTCAACTAATTGAACAAGACCCCACTCACATTATCAAGGGTCATGTCCTCTTCTCAGAGTCAAGTGTTTTGTAGACGGTAACCACATCTATAATATATCTTCACAGCAACACCTAGACTAGTGCCTGGTTAAATAACTGGGTTCAATAATCTAGCCAAGCTGACACATTAAAACAAAGCAAAACTAACCATCAAACACCTAGTCAGGGTCTTTGGTATCCCCCATAAACTTCTCCTTTATCCAGATTTCCATCACTCAAGATGCTTTTGGCTGAAAATAACAGAATATCCCATCAAAAATGGTTTAAACAGTAGGAGTCTCCCGTTAGAAGAAGCTGGGGGTACAGAGGCCAGGCAGACTCAGCAGCTCAGTACCTTACCCAGAACACAGAATTTTCCCATCCTTCCACTCTGCCACCCTCGTTCTGCTGGAGAGGTCACCTCGACTTCACCTAACAGCCACCATAGTACCACCCACCATGTTTCACACAACCCCAGTCCAAGATCAGGGAGAACGAGGGCAGGCCTCTTCTATATATCTGTTTTTTTTTTTCACAAGGGAGAAAATCTTTCCCAAAATTCCCCATCAGACTTCTCCTGGGTCAGTTGGCTACCCTGGACCAATCACCGGAAAATGTGAATGGAGTATCACGATTGGCTTGGACCAAACATGATTCTTTCCTTGGGACATGATTCATTTCACCTTCCCCAAGATCAACGAAGTCTATCTGGTAACTGAACAAGATCCGGGTTCTGTTAGCCTAGAAGAGGGTGAAGGCCTGTTATGCAGTTAACCTGTGCCTGCCACGAGGGCAGGCTCACCTCTAACTCCCCGCAGGCCTTGGCTGGGAAGAGCTCAATGCTTCCATCTCTATGACTTTACCACCATCTCTTAACCTGGCCGAGTACAGCACTCAACCCACCCCCCTCTCATGGTGTCTTGTCCTCCAAAACCTCTCTAAGTATAAAGGATGTTGGCTGTACTCAGCTCTCCCCTTCCAAAATAAAACAAAACAGAAGATAAAACTCAAAAATAAAGTTGTCATTCGTGAGGGATCCTGTTCGCTGAGTTCCCTTATTCTATTTTAGATACTTCCCAAAGCCCCAACCCCGCCCCCCTCCGTCAGTTGCTTTTGAGCTGATCTCGACTCATGGTGATCCCATGCATGTCAGAGTGGAACTGTGCTCCATAGTGTTCTCAATGGCTGATTTTTGGGAAGTAGATTGCCAGGCCTTTCTTCTGAGGTAGCTCTGGGTGGACTCACATCTCCACCATTTCAGTTAGCTGCCAAGCTGTTAACCATTTGCACCACCCAGAGACTCCCCCTATGGTGCAGTGAATTGCTATCATATGACCCTTCCAGCCACGGTCTTAACTCTCAAAAAATGATTGAGCGGGACTATGCAAATAAGGTCCATGGACCCCTTATAGGAGATTGGTCAGTTTTGACATCCCACTAGGCTTAAAGGGAGTCAATCTCTTTAATCCCTTGATAACTACCATCAAGAAGAGCCAGGAGCGGAGTGTGTCCTTTGGACCAGGGTCCCTGCACTGAGAACCTCCTAGACCCAAGAGCCCAAGAGAGCTGTAACACTAGTGATGGCAGCAGTACAGGACCAGCAGGCTAGGTGTGCCAATCCAGGGAGCGAGAGAGCTGAGCACCTGTGGGCAGGAGGCTGGCTGGTTGAGTAGGGTGCCTCTGGGCACTTGTTGGTGGAGCTAAGGAGTTCTGAGACATTTGCCTGAGCAGGGCAGTGGCCAGGCCTCAGCAGGACCCAGGGCCAAGAGCAAGAGCCCAGGTCGAGAACAAAGGCCCAGTGGGAGCAACTGAGAAGAAGCTGTCCTCACCAAAGAACTGTATTCTGGGTTATTCCTGTTACTTCTAAGTTGTTCCTGATTCTGAACTGTAACCTGTTACTTCCCTATTAAACTCCATAATCGTCAGTATGGTCTGTGAGCTCTGTGTGGCCATTGCAACGAATTATCGAACCTAGCAGACGAGCAGAGAGTGTCACGGAAGGGACGGCTGGTGTCGGAATTGGCAAAAAGGCTTGGAGGGTGGAGGTATGTCTGACCTCCACTTCACAGGAATCAGCTTTGGGCTGATGCTGATCTTGATCATCTTTCTCCCCCTGAAGTTAGATGAGGTCTGATGCCACCAGTTCACACCTCCCCTCACATAAGCAGATAACTACTACTTTCTCCGCACCTTCCATTTTCTTAGTAGGCAAAGATACACAGAGTTGCACCACAGATTAGATAATATACAGGATTAGATTTTAGTGCAAACATTAAAAAACACAGTTTGGCACCTGTGTTAACCTGGATGTGCTCTGAGACTAAGCATGAACTGGTGACTCTCCTTTATCGCTGTGAGTAAAATCATTCAGTGCTGTGCGAGCTTTAGTTTTCCTACCTGGCAGCAAAATGCACAAGCCATTGGCAGAAGGTTTACTGCTGAGACAACAATCTAATTTTATCTTGCTGGGCTACTTGGCTTTATGATGCTTGTAAGGAATAGATTCTGTTCCCATAAAAGTCAGTAGCTTCACGCAAGAAAAATCTCTGTTTCCAAGGCCACAGATTTCCCCTTCTGATCCAGTCAGCTGTCTTCTCTAACACAATTTATAGAGATAAAAACAAGTCTTAAATCAGCTACAGAGGAAGAACCACTGTTCCTTATATTAATTTATTGCTACTAAAACTATCATGACTTCATCTCATGTACTTTGGACATGTTATCAGGAGGGACCAGTCCCTGGAGAAGGACATCATGCTTGATAAAGTAGGTCAGAGAAAAAGAGGAAGAGCCTCGACGAAATGGATTGACACCGTGGCAGCAACAACGGGCTCGAGCATAACAACGATTGTGAGGATGGTGCAGGACGGGGCAGTGTTTCGTTCTGTTGTCCACGGGGTCAGTATGAGTCAGAACCGACTCGACAGCACCC